CGGCCGATATATTGTCGCAATTAGGGGGTTCGCTTAGGATCGCACACACTGACTGATAACTGCTGTTGCTATAATATCTTAACGAATTCACCTGCTTGTTACCTAGCGCTCAGTAACACTTATCATAGATAGTATTATTTAGCAATTAGATATTATCATAATTAGGGGGTTCGCTTAGGATCGCACAAACCGAAAGATGACTTTTGTTGCTATATCTTATAAACTGCGTCTGTGATTCAGCGCACAGTAGCACTTATCTCAGATATTGTTTAGCAATTTGACATCACTGGCTCTTAACAAACGAATTGCAAACTTAACAAACGAAAACGAAGAAAACGCACAGTTTTCTCAGTTTTTGTAAACTGCGTCTGTGATTCAGGGCACAGTAGCATATAACTCAGATATTGTATAGCAATTGACCGCTGGCTCCTGCACTATCCCCATCACGGATGCCACCGGCCGAGCCAGACGCGCCGCTTTGGTTGACTTCACACAATCCACGGCCGATATATTGTCGCAATTAGGGGGTTCACTTAGGGTCGCACACACTGACAGATAACTGTTGTTGCTATATCTTATAAACTGCGTCTGTGACCTTCCCAAAGAGGGTTGACGTCAGACAGGCGGCCAGTCATAAAACAATGCCCAATCCTTTTGCTTCATGATTTTTTGCTCTAACAAAACATGTCGCGCCGACCCCAACCGATTTGGGATAAGGGCAGGCAGATGATGCGTCTGTGACCTAGTGTTCAGCATCACCGACGTAGGTATCTCTGATATTGTATAGCAATTTGACATGACCGGCTCCTGCACTATCCCCATCACGGATGCCACCGGCCGAGCGGCCGAGCCAGACGCGCCGCTTTGGTTGATTTCACACAATCCACGGCCGATATATTGTCGCAATTAGGGGGTTCACTTAGGATCGCACACACATAAAGATAACTGTTGTTGCTATATCTTATAAACTGCGTCTGTGACCTTCCCAAAGAGGGTTGACGTCAGACAGGCGGCTGATCATAAAACATTGCCAAATCCTTTTGCTTCATGATTTTTTGCTCTAATTAAACATGTCGCGCCGACCCCAACCGATTTTGGTATAAGGGCAGGCAGATGATGATATGCGTCTGTGACCTAATGTTTAGCATCACCGACGTAGGTATCTCAGATATTGTATAGCAATTTGACATGACCGGCTCCTGCACTATCCCCATCACGGATGCCACCGGCCGAGCGGCCGAGCCAGACGCGCCGCTTTGGTTGATTTCACACAATCCACGGCCGATATATTGTCGCAATTAGGAGGTTCACTTAGGATCGCACACACTGACAGATAACTGTTGTTGCTATAATATCTTATTAGCAATTTGATATTGTCGTAATTAGGAGGTTCACTTAGGATTGCAAACACTGAGAGAGAACTGTTGTTGCTTATGCCATGTCTTAGAAACTGCGTCTGTGATTCGGCATACAAGACCACTTATCTCAGATATTCTTTAGCAATTTGACATCACTGGCTCTTAACGAATGAATTACCTTTGTCTTAGTTCACAGTAGATATCAGTTCTCTCTCTTATTGTACAGCAATTTGACATCACCGTCTCCTGCACTATCCCCATCACGGATGCCACCGGCCGAGCGGCCGAGCCAGACGCGCCGCTTTGGTTGATTTCACACAATCCACGGCCGATATATTGTCGCAATTAGGGGGTTCGCTTAGGATCGCACGCACTGAAAGATGACAATTGTTGCTATATCTTGTAAACTGCGTCCAAATTGCGTCTGTGATTCAGTGCACAGTAGCACTTATCCCAGATATTTTTTAGCAATTGGACATCACTGGCTCTTAACGAATAAACTGCCTGTGACCTAACACACAGTACTAAATATCTCTGAAATTGACATGACCGGCTCCCGCACTATCCCCATCACGGATGCCACCGGCCGAGCGGCCGAGCCAGACGCGCCGCTTTGGTTGATTTCACACAATCCACGGCCGATATATTGTCGCAATTAGGGGGTTCACTTAGGATCGCACACACTGACAGATAACTGCTGTTGCTATAATATCTTAACGAATTAACCTGCTTGTAACCTACCGTTCAGTAACACTTATCACAGATAATAATATTAATATTTAGCAATTTGATACTGTCGTAAATAGGAGGTTCACTTAGGATTGCACACACTGAGAGAGAACTGTTGTTACTATAATAATATCTTAGAAAGAGTCTCTGCGTCTACTTTGCATCTGTGATTCAGCATACAGGACCACATAACTCAGACATTGTTTAGCAGTTTGATATCACTGGCTGCCTGTGACTGGCTGTGACCTAGCGCACAGTACCAGCTATCTTTCATATTGTATATCAATTTGACATCCCCGGCTCCTGCACTATCCCCATCACGGATGCCACCGGCCGAGCGGCCGAGCCAGACGCGCCGCTTTGGTTGATTTCACACAATCCACGGCCGATATATTGTCGCAATTAGGGGGTTCGCTTAGGGTCGCACACACAGAAAGATAACTGCTGTTGTTATAATATCTTAACGAATTAACCTGCTTGTTACCTAGCGCTCAGTAACACTCATCTCATCTCAGATATTCCCTCTTATTTAGCATTTTGATATTGTCGTAATTAGAGGGTTCACTTAGGATTGCACACACCGCGAGAGAACTGTTGTTACTATATCTTAGAAGCTGCGTTTATGATTCAACACACAGTACCACTTATCTCAGATATTCTTTAGCAATTTGATATCACTGTCTCTTAAAGTATAAACTGCCTGTGACCTAGCGCACAGTAGCACTAATATTGTTTAGCAATTTGCCATCACCGGCTCCTGCACTATCCCCATCACGGATGCCACCGGCCGAGCGGCCGAGCCAGACGCGCCGCTTTGGTTGATTTCACACAATCCACGGCCGATATATTGTCGCAATTAGGGGGTTCACTTAGGACCGCACACACTGACTGATAACTGTTTTTGTTATAATATCTTAACGAACAAACCTGCTTGTGACCTAGCGCTTAGTAACACTTATCATCACAGATATTGTTAAGCAATTTTACATCACTGGCTTTTAACGAGCTAACTGCTTGTGACCTAGCGAAAGTACCAGAGATCTCTGATAATATTAAATAGCAATTTGACATCCCCGGCTCCTGCACTATCCCCGTCACGGATGCCACCGGCCGAGCGGCCGAGCCAGACGCGCCGCTTTGGTTGATTTCACACAATCCACGGCCGATATATTGTCGCAATTAGGGGGTTCGCTTAGGATCGCACACACAGAAAGATAACTGTTGTTGCTATAATATCTTTACGAATTAACCTGCTTGTGACCAAGCGCTCAGTACACTTATCACAGATAATAATATTGTTTAACATTTTATATTGTCGCAATTAGGGTGTTCACTTAGGATCACACACACAGAGAGAACTGTTGTTACTATATCTTTGAAACTGCGTCTATGATTCAGCATACAGGACCGCTTATCGCAGATATTGTTTAGCAATTGACATCACTGGGTCTTAACGAATAAACTGCTTGTGACGTAGCGCATAGTACCAGTGATCTCAGATAATGTTTAGATTGACCACCGTCTCCTGCACTATCCCCATCACGGATGCCACCGGCCGAGCGGCCGAGCCAGACGCGCCGCTTTGGTTGATTTCACTCAATCCACGGCCGATATATTGTCGCAATTAGGGGGTTCACTTAGGATCAGATACTGTTGTTGCTATAATATCTTATAGTGATCGAATCGACTGCCGGTATGAGCTAAAATTGAGCTAGAATTATAGAAAGCGGCTTGCAGCAACTAGATGGCAAAAACGGGATGGCAAAATCGTGCCTAGTCTAGTACCCTGAGGCAGGCTTACGTCCACCAGTGGACTGCTATGGGCTGATGTGATTATAACGAAGTGATTTAGCAATCAGTACCACTTTATCTCAATATTGTATAGCAATTTCACTTAGGATCGCAAACACTGACAGATATTGTTGTTGCTATAATATCTTAACGAATAACCTGCCTGGGACCTAACACACAGTACCAAATATCTCTGATATTGTATAGCAATTTGACATGACCGGCTCCTGCACTATCCCCATCACGGATGCCACCGGCCGAGCGGCCGAGCCAGACGCGCCGCTTTGGTTGATTTCACACAATCCACGGCCGATATATTGTCGCAATTAGGGGGTTCACTTAGGGTTACACACACTGACAGAGAACTTTTGTTGCTGTAACTTAGAAACTGCGTCTGTGATTTAGCATACAAGAACACTTATCTCAGATAATATTGTTTAGCAATTTGATATCACTAAGATATTTTATTATCCTTACTGCCTAGTGCCTATCATAAAGTTACTGTTGCTAGATTATATTTCCTAGAAGAAACCGAACAAGTTAATTTTGTCAAAAGGAATTGTCTGTTGCTATCTGATAATGTGATCATCACTTGGTTTTTTTTTATTAACGACAATTTTAATTTACTTCTGTAACACAAAAATAACATAAAAAACTTTTAAGTTTTCCCTATTACGTCAGATAGCCGAAATTGGTCGGAGAAATCAGCATCATGATCGTCAGTTAGACAACAAAATATCTTCTCTTATCTCAGCTTTGCCTGTACAAAGCCCTTACTCATCAATGCGAACTGCAAACTCAATATTTCAGGGCTCCCCTTGCCCTTGCAATCAGGTTTAAACGGGGAACCTGGGGGAGGCGGGACAGGTCTTTTGTTGGGGTACCTAGGGTATCTAGGGTGCCTAGCTCATGGCACTAGATTAACGGGTGCAAATTGCTTTTGATTTGCGGTGTTTTGATTAATTGGTTCAGGTGCTGTATTACAGTAGAAGTCAGATTTGAAGCTGTTATTATGATATCAAAGATTTCAAATTTTGGTCGGACATAAATACCTACTAACTGAATGATAAATAACTTATTGATAGCTCACATGGGTACCTAAGTGGCGGTATAATACTAAACCACGACTCGCGGGATTTAAACCCACAACTTTCAGTATTCTTTGCCGAATGCTCTAACCACTAAGCTGTCGCTTGCTTTTGTACCTGCCCTTGTTGAAAAATGATATGAACCATTGCTGTCTAAGTATATAGTGTGTTCGAACTTTTTGAGCTTGGTTCGTAATGGCCTCTGCACCCAACCCAACCGATTTTCACCTGCACCCCATACAGTTATCTAATTAGCGCCATTAAGGTACCCCGTTGCAGGATTTATATTTAATTTTAATCATCCATTTTCTGTAATTACTGGACAATTTGTCTCTATGCAACCCCACCCTTCGTCTGGTTTCAGTTTACCAAGTTGTTTTCACCTGTTTGTGTTGGAACAATTTGTACCTCGTAACTTTTGTAAGACATTATCGGTACGCCTGGGTCGCCTGGATAGATAATCGAAACTTTAAAATAAAATTATTTTGTAGATTAGGAATAAAATATAGGTAGAAAAAGACGCTCATCATTAAAACTCTCAGGTGATCTTAAAAAAATATCTCTTTGCATCTTCCCCTAGTTCTTAGATGAACCACATAAGTTTACAGTATTTTACCGGTCCAGTTTTATCGACTAAAAGAATGGTAGATATGGAATCCTATACATTGTGGCACATTTAATTAGATTTTTAGCAGCTAAGAACCGCAGTTCTTTAGATACTAGAAAAAATAAAATAAGTATGTTCAGCTTGCAGTTTCTGCCACCGACAAAAAAGCTGTTCTTATACTTCCGGCACCTGAGACAATCCACTTTGTCACCACGCATGAGCAGTCTATCTATGAAATAACAAGCCTATTCAAGCTATAAAGATTTCCTCGCGCCTATTATCGTATCCTAGTGTTTAAGCCCTCGGTCTAGGCTCTTCAGACAAGTCTAGTGCCTGGGGGTAGCTACCCCTCCAAGTTCAAGGTTGGATATATTAATAGGCGTGAAATATGTTGGGGTAGGTTGGGTTTGAGTAGGTTGAGCGATATTTATGTTCTTAATAAATTTGAAAGTACTCTTTATTTTAGTATTTTGTCTGAAATATGTTGATCTTAATCATATTTTATCGTTACATTAAAAAGCATTATTTATGTTATATTACGGCATTTTTCTTCAAGGGATTTTCAACCGATATTTTAAGCAAAGCCATCATTTAGCATTCCAATGAGTACCTTTAAATGCCTACGTAGGTACGTAGCTTCGTAGCAAGCAGTAGCAGACGTCTACGCTGCTGTAGCACAGTTTTGCAGTCACGTGTATAATCATCACTTTACATTTTATTTTAATTTTTTAAAGGAACACTTTTTCTTACATTGCCTTTCTTACATTCTTACAAAGCATAAACAAACGTAATTTTCCTGAATGAGTTAAACATAAAATGAAATTAGTTCCGTGATTCTGTTATTATGAATCCATGTCCACATTTACACCAAAATTTAGTGTCGTAACGCAAAAAAAACATATTTCGCCCACATTTCAACGGGAATCACCGCTACGTCACATTTTTGGGCTTGCGTCACATGTTTCGGCTTGCACCGGCGGCGTCGCACGTAGCCCGTTCCCGCGTATACATTATTGAGTGCCGCTGAGTGAAGAGACGCGCCACCACGAGCGTTTGCATCGAGACAGTAACTAACACAACAAGTTAACCAAACCAACCATCCCACTGGCCCAACTGACCCAAGTAAACTAACGGACTCGTCTTGCCCAACTGACACAACTGACCAAACCGACAACTCAATCAACTCAAGCGACCCAACCAAGTGACTTGACTCAACTCGACTTTTGACTTGTCACCGAAACGTCACATTTTTCGGCTTGCGTCACATGTTTCGGCTTGCACCGGCGGCGTCGCACGTAGCCCGTTCCCGCGTATACATTATTGATTGAGTGCCGCTGAGTGAAGAGACGCGCCACTACGAGCGTTTGCATAAAGACAGCAGCTGAATTGACTGACTTGACTTGACTTAACTCAATAACCCCGCAGTTAGTTCAGCAAGTTCCCTTCCTTCATGTAGTTCTAGTAAATCACCCACCTCTCATTCGTCAGAGAGTTTTTTTGACTAGGTATCTGAATTCAAGCCAAATCAATCCGAGTCAACATCCGAATTATATTTCAAACTTGATAATGTTGGTAGATGGTGACTCTACCATAAAAACTCTGGTGCAGGTAAGTGAAGAGATGGCGAGAGGTGTAAGAAAGAAAGAAAGAAGAAAGAAAATATATTTATTCGGCATAATTGCAGGCAACATAACAACAAATAAATACAATTATAACAGAAAACCTTGCAACTATACCGAAACGGTTCCAACTCAGCATAATGCCACAGCCAGAGCTGTGGCGCTGGTTTTCAGTTGGTACCGGTTCAGGTGTCGCTCGAGATTACAACTAAGAAAATATATATATGAATGAAAAGTAAAGTCATATATATCTCAAACCTATAATACTAAACAATATGCTTAAAATATATAAAACTGTGAGAAACCAAAATTAAAAACAAAAAAGAAATTAACATGTGTTTTCATTACAACTATAAACAATTACCTATACATTATCAAATTAAATAAAATTATTGTGTATGAGTAAGACGTGTGAAATTAGGGTCATTATGCGATCAGATCATACCATTTACCACCCAATCATTCAAAAATATTTGTACCGCTCAGTTGGTCGAGTAAAAGAAATTCCTTCATTTTTGTTCGAAAACGTGCTAATGATGGGACAGAACGAATGGGGGGAGGAATATTGTTCCAGATCTTGGCAGCGGTATATCTGAAACTACCTTCAAAAGCCGTGGTTCTGTGACGTGGAACTGCAAGTCGAGAAAGACGCAAGCGCGAAGACCAGACCAATTTCTCGTACAAATAAAGAGGCTTACGGCTTTTTATGATACCGAAGAGAAGGATGGCAAAATGCAATGATCTCCGGGACTTCATGTTAAAGATCTTGTGCTGGTTGATAAATGGAGAAACATGACTTCTCGGCGGTATTTCAAAACAAAACCTTGCACAGGCGTTTTGCACACGCTGTATCAAGGCCTTAGTTTTTGCCAACAGTCTTGGTCCGTAAACTGCATCTGCGTAGTTAAATTTAGAAAGTATAAGAGATTCTACAAGATTAATTCTTAGTTTCACCGAAAGAAAACTTCTAACTCTGTATAGTACTTTCAGCCGGTAGAAACAGTTTCGTACCACTTCCTGCACATGCTTCTCAAACCTTAAATTAGGATCGAAGACTATAGCCCAAATTTCGCGCTTCCATCGCCTGGGTGATAACTTCACCTTGAATTAAAAGGGACGGTCGTTGGGCACTCATCCTCTCTAATTGATGCTTAGAACCGAATAACATAAACTTACTCTTGCTGGGGTTCAACATTAGACAGTTTTTACGAGACCAACACGATATTCTTTCCAAATCTTCATTTATTTTCTTTATTGCCAGATTAACTTGGTCCGGGCGACAAGATAAATATAATTGTAGATCGTCGGCGTACAGATGAAATTTACAGTTTTGTATACAATTAATTATGTCTGCACTATATATAATAAATAACAAAGGGCCAAGTATAGAGCCTTGGGGTACTCCCCTGGTGACTTCTTTTAAAGTTGATAATGACTCGGAACCATCGCTATTTTGTAACTTAACATACTGATACCGATTAGTTAAGTAGCTGTGAAACCATTTTATCGTAGGAATATCAAAACCATAAAACGACAGTTTTGAGAGCAACAATGAAATATTTATAGTATCAAAGGCACGGGAAAAGTCTAAGAGTACCAGTATAGTACCCATCCCTGAGTCTTGTGCTTCCAGAATATTATTTGTGACGTCCAACAAGGCCGTGGTAGTGCTCCTATTTTTGCGAAAACCTGATTGAACCTGCGGTAGAATGTCATTGGCCTCGAAGTAATTAATGACTTGTGTGTGTACAATTCTCTCCATAGCCTTGGACAGGCATGGCAGGATGCTAATTGGCCGTAAGTCTTTAAACTCTAAAGGATTTGTTATCTTTGGAAGTGGCTGAACTATAGCTGTTTTCCATGGTTCTGGAAACGAGCACGTAATAATCGACCTGTTTATTATTGATGTTATGGCTTCTAGTGTAACGGGTAGACTCATCAAAAGCATTTCCAAATTTATCAAATCGGCGCCTTGTGCATTAGATTGAAGAGAACGTATGGTTTTGGAAATAATTTGGTCATTCACACATTTTAAACTAAATGTGAAAGAATAATTAAATCTATGAAACTCATAATAAGTTAGATCAGATAAATTCACATCACCAGAACATGGTAAATTAAGAAAATGATTATTGATATCCTCTGCAAAACAAAGATGCGCAGGAAGGTTATCCTTTTCTGGTTTGGGTGGAAGCACATCAGATTTAAGATTCTTCCATAAGGTTTTTGGGTTATTTATGTGGCAATTAATATTTTGTTCAAAATAAGCACGCTTTTCGTAAAATAGAGACGAATTTACTAACTTTTTTAGGTCCTTATAGTATTCATTGTGGGAGTCTTTCAATGTGGTAAGATACTCAGCATGTGCCTCATTTCTCAGTTTCATCATTAGTCTCACGTTACTGGTGATCCAAGGATGTGAGCCACATTTAATTGTTATAGTCTTTAAAGGCGCATGGACGTCAAATACAAGCAATGAAAGCATTAAATGTCAAATGAAAGCATTAAATAAAGAGACCATTTCATCAACATTGTAGCTAAGAGAGATTGATTGCCACGGAATGGTCGCAAGATCAAAAAGAAAGTCAGCCGAGTTTATATTCTTTATCGGTCTATAAGTTATAGTTTTTGGTGGGATTTTCGGCTTTTTAAAATTAAACTCAGTAATGATTAGGGCATGTTTGTGCTTTTTGGTACTTATTACATCGAATGAAACATTCCGAATCGGTGCATCTGTACACACCAAATCAATAAGTGTCGCACTATGATCTGTGAAATGCGTTGGAAAATCTACCACCTGAGTTAAGTTATGGACGTTCAAAAACTCATTTAGTTTTGAGCTATAAATATTATTTGGGTCTAGCTGGTCTATATTGAAA